GCCAGATTGGCAGACTTTCTGGTATGGAAAAACAAATTCTCCTGCGGGCCCCCCCGCCTGCTCCTCCGCCTCCACTCCCCCAGAATTGAGGGGGCTCAAATCCAAGGGAATTCCGGGCCAAGCATAACAAACACAGAGGCTATCCCCGACTCTCCCAGGCACCCGGGTCCACTGTTTGACAATGGTTGCCATAGAACTTGTTTTCCAGATCGTAAACAGTGTCGACATATCCAGGCAATAAGGAGAACGGCTGCTTTCTGCAGACAAGAAAATTTCATTTCCTGCTCTATCAGCCTGCCAAGGCCCTTCTGTCTGAGTGCCACAAATTGGGGAACTCCGAGCATGGGCCAAGCCTTGCTCTGCTCTGCACTGTAAGCCTGGCTGGACAATCTGAGGTCCCCATAACGACAGCCCTGGGGCACTAGAAGACAATGCTATCGGAAGATATCATCTTGAAAAAATACAGCGCTGGTGGATACAGGATAAGGAAGGACAATCAGATGATTTTAAAGTAGGATTCAATGGGCAGTTTATGAAAACGACTCCCTGAACATGCTTGTCCTCAGAGAAATTTGAAAGCTACACCCCTTATTTCCCTCGCTCATTTCATTCTTTTTTTTTAATTTTTGGTGTAAGAAACTGGAAAAAAAACAAAACGTTTCACATGAACTTTCTCCATGGTTTTAGGTCAGGAAGGACCGCACATTTGTGCCGTCTGTGAACTATCCTGTTTTCAATATCCCACTTCAAGAGAAGTTTCCCAGTGTTATGACACTGAATGAATAAAGTCATTTCCTCTTGTGTCATGAACCAGACTGCAATTTAGGGCTGACCCAAGTCATGGCAGTAGACATTTTTACTGTCTGCACTGTAGAACACCCAGGAATATCTCATTCTCTTGCTTTATATCAGAACACAGCCTGCATTCTTACTCAAAGTGTTTGCTACTGTGTGTACAGTAGGCTACTACTTACTCTTGAATTGGCAAGGAAAAGACTAGGTACTGTAATTAGGACCAAAACAGGAATTGTTTTACTTAGCAGATTGCTGCATTTTAGGATATACAAATTGCATATTCTTATAATAATGTTTCTTTATTAGCCCTATACAATTTCTTGCATTAGGAATTTGTCTTTTTGCATACCCCAGCTTTTCTCCATGGAGACACAGACAGGGAGAGAAGTGGGATTTGAACCAGCAACCTTCCAGCCACAGGCGCAGATCCTTAGCCACAGAGTCACCGCTCCGCCCCTTATATAGGGTGGCATGGTGGTGCAGTCGTTAGTATTGCTGCCTGACAGCACTGGGGTAGGGGTTGAAAATCTGGACCTGGGATGTTATTTGTGTGGAGTCTCTATGTTCTCCCTGTATTCGTGTGGGTTGAATGAAAATTCATTCATTTTACGGATCTCCACATTATGATAATCACTATTGAAATTAACCTGGAAATGAGAATTGTCAAGCTGATTTCCTCAGGTTAAGTAAACAATTGTGAATTATCAGCTATTCGAGTTCATCAATGAAATTTGGACAACAGTCTGCAGGGTGCTTATGCATTCCCAAGCATGATCCATAAAACTGGGCCTGCCATCCTGTCGCCTGGCTGAGTTAAAGGACTGGACTAATGCAGCTGCTGTAGATCAAACACTGGGAACATTCATTATGGAAGACTCACGTCTGATGTCTTGCCTATGATAGAGGTGAGTTTCCTCTGTTCCTTCAACCAGCTCCTACAGACACTGTAGTGCAAAAAAAGTCTTAATCTCATTTCGCACGCCCCCATATCTGAAATAAAGCTTTATCATTGCTGCCATCTCGAAACTAGATGCTATAGAAAAAAAAACCTGATGTACATCCTCTACCCAGACTTCATCCGGCTTCTGCGTGGTTTATTTTCTAATGTTGATGCTGCTATATTAATGAGACAGACTTGAGACAAATGAGTATTACGTCCCAGCAGCTATCCAAATTGATAAGCTCTAAGCCTTAACACAAATCCCAGGGAAAAACAGAAATAACGGTAGCTTTTCCACACAAGAGCCCAACCTGACAGCGCAGATGGCTGTAAATATGGCTCTGATGCACGAGAAAATGACCGACTTGAAAATGAACTTGTCAAAACGCCTACAGCTTCTCCTAAACGGGTTAGAATCGGAACACAATTTTCCTCTATTAAAAGAGGTGATAATGATAAAATACAGTAAGAATAAGAGACTCTTACATTTGCTTTAAATTCTCCGAAACTGAAATATGTAAATTTGAATTACGAAGACAATCTCAATTATGAATTATGAAAAAAACCTCAAGAGTCCCCTGTACCTAACTAATACAGGATTGAAACCAAATAAACTAATATATACAAACCCTGACGAGTACACTAATATTAATACATAAATCTAAAGTGGCAGGTTCCTATTCTAAAAGTTTTGCATATTGTATTTCAAACAGATTTGAAATGTTTAGAATAAACCCTAAAAAGCATGCAAGTACACAGGCCAGACAACATTAGTGGAAATCGAGAGGTAGCGCATTGAGGACAAGAAACGGGGGGGGTTCTTCTTCACAGAGAAAGCTCAAGGGCATCCAGAGAAACCCACCAGAGCAACATCATTAATGGTGATGTCCTGCCATCTTTCAAAAAATGACTGGAAAAGCTACCAGCATCCGCACAAACATGATGGGCTGCTTTACATTCATTCCATTGGAGACACTGTTGTGTTATGCCAGGGATAAAAGTCTCTCTTGTGTAATGAATTTGTCCAGACTGCCTAGGTGTGCCATTCAAGAACCACTATGCTCCTGCACTATGCTTTCCAAGTTTAAATTGTATTATTGTTAATGACTTTCATTTCCATGCTCACTGCTCCTGAAGACCTGTCTACTATATTACTGCATTCTGGAGTCTGTATGGCAGGACTTATTTCATTACAAACACAAGGGCACTGTGGCACAGAAGATCCAGAATAGAAGTTGCATTTCTTATGATTATTTTGTTTAGTAATAGCTTCTATGACATGTCTCACAGCTTTGAAACTTTTCCAGTCATTTCACTGTCTTAGTGATTGTGTTTTGTTTCATTTTGTTCTTTTTTTCTCAGTTGGCTTTGTTATTTTCAAGACAGATTTGGTTGATTTTGACATATAATGTACATATTTTTGAGAATTTGGGAGAACAATCAAAAAGGTGAGCAAACTGCTAGGATATATAGGTATAATAATGCCATTTTAGATCACATCAAGTTTAAATTGTATTATTTTAGATGTAAAATATCTCAAATTAGTCTATATATGCTGCTGAGCAACAGTACATTTACTCAGAGCCATGGTCTCAAATGCAGAACGATATTTCCTCATTAAAAAATGACTTTCAATTGTTTTTCGAAATATTACCACACAAACTTGAAATAACTTTTGGTCTGGCAACAAATATGTGACAAAGCAAAACATGGAAAAGGGCTGATTTTAAATGCTTGGTACCAAAGTAAAATTCCCCTGTTTTTCTACATAAATTAAGATGGACATTCTGTCATAGAAAAATTCAATGTTCGTTATAAACAGTATGCCACTTCACATCTAGGATATAGGAGTCACAGCTACTTCACAACTTTAATGTTTTACAATACATCACATAATACATACACATACACATTTTTATTATATGACAAGTTGTCTGTTTTATTAACAACAGAAAATCTAAGAAGCAAATCAACAGTACGATAATACTATAGCAATATAATTAAAGACCATTAAAATCTAAAAGGTTATTGTCAGGAGTTTCTCTGTTCTCTTCAGCAGCTCTGGAACCTTAATTCATTCAAAAAATATTCAGAAAAGGTTAGTTCAACTGTTACACCTCCTCAATTTACGCAAATACTGTAAATGTATTCGTGAATAGGGAAGAGTTCACTGCTTTGTCCCTGGAGCTCAGTTACAAAAGAGGCACCTTCAATTGTACAACAATCAACATATACAACTTTCAGGATGTTCAATCGTGAAATGTGCAGATATTTGAGTTTTATTAAACAAAAATATTCAATCGTTAAATAAAAGTGGTCTTAGGACTCTGGAAAAAAAAAACTGCCCCAAAGGTCAAAATATTCAATTTCACTCAGGATTCAACACAATGAAGTGTCAGTTAAAGAAAGTAGATATTTTAGGCTTTTTAAACAAGCAGAAAACAGGGGTTATTTTGACTACATAATTTGCAGATGGATAAAGCTGCATACAATACAGAGTAACCTACTGGACACAAAACCATGAAGCTGTTCTTTATAATCTTCATAATAGTCAGATCAGAACTTCCCAGGAAAAAGTCACTGGGTGTCTGATTGGTCAACTACTGGTTACCCACAACCACGAGAGAAAGAAGCCACCAGTCTGATCAAAACAGGATGTCACCAAAATGACGCAATATGAACCATTCATTATTAGCAACTTCAACCATCTAACGTTCCAATTCATCCAAAATCTTTTACAGCTTCTTGAACCACCTGGACATATATATACATCCAAATATAAATATAAAAACAATATAATTCCAACATCTGAATATTATTTGATTACAGGGACACTCAAAAACTATTTTAGGTAGGCGCTGCTTAATTGTGGCACACATACCGTTTGTCCCTGAACCCTTCTGATGCCGAGGTGAAGTATGCTGTGTGCCCTTAACTTGCCCATGTAGGAAAGATCTGAAGCCAAGCCCCAATGACATATACAGTACAGTAAGAAAAGAAGTACTCTGATGGCCTAAATCTTGTTGTTCAGTTCCTCTGTAAATCCACAGTTTAAGAGTTATAGAGTGTCTGCACAGTACAGAAACTGACATGTGATCAGCCAGAGGTATTTCAAACCCTGTGACCCTAATCAGTAGACTTTGTCAGGCTGCATATTGGGGAATCTATTTATCGAAAAGGCATTGAAGATCTATACATCTCCCCTAATCAGGAATTCTGTACAGCTGCAACAGTATACGTTGTGTAAAAGTTCAGATGTGCTCACCATCATCCAGATAAGCTTGATCCAGGTTCTCCTGCTTCACCGTGACCCGTCCAGGCAGGGTCTCTCTCTGATCCTCTGCTGGGCATCGCTGAGGGTCAATCTGGCCGGGAGGGGACCGGCTCTTGGGCATTTTGGGCACGTAGGGCTGCTGCTGGATCACCGTGGAGTACTGGCTCGGGCTCACCTGCTGGGCGTGGGTGACGGGCGGAGCAGGGGAGCGGGCAGTGGCGGTCGAGGGGTAGTTCTCGCAGTACATGATGTGCTGGTGGTCCTGGAGGCCACCCCCGCCGCGGAGCTGGTGGTTGGTGGGCGAGAACTGGATGATGGAGGAAGGGTGCTGGTTGGGAGAGGCCGACTGGTGGTGGGCGAGGGCGGACGACTGCGCCGGCGAGCCGGTGTGGACCAGCACCGAACGGTGAGGCTCGGGCATGACGCCGCCCGGAGAGCCCATGTGGGCCACTTGCTGGTACAGAACAGGGCTGCTGCTCAGGCTCTTGTTCCGGGGGTAGACAATGGCCGGGCTCTGCTGCTGGAAATGGGAGTCGGGGGCGGACAGGCCGGAGAGCACCTGCTGGCAGGACGTCATGCTCGCCACCAGACAGCCATCGGGGTTGATCAGGCCCCGGTGGTGGTAGTAAGGCTGTTGCGTTGCTCCCAGGGCCTGCGACACCGTGAACCTAATCTGCTGGGATTCATAGTCGTCGATGGGCTCCGTTTTAATGGCTGGAACTGATAAAGAAAGACCACTGAGGGATTTCATACAACTCATCAATGACTTAAAGCCCGTTGTCCGTGTCCTGGTTTTCATCTCTCCTGCCGCTCTTCATCTTGTGACCTTGTCACTTACAGTACCAGACCCATTAAAGCCATTTTCTTACATCCCAGAGACCGGAGATGAGGATTCCCGATTCAAAAAACCTATTACGCGTCAAACAAATGTTTCAACAAATAATGTCTGTCAGTACGAATTGACTTGAACGCCCCGAATGATGTTTACGATCTTGTATTTTGGTTTGAAACAAGGTTGCATGGAGGAACAAAAAAGCCTAAAAACCAGGAAACACACAGGTTGTATTCCCAGCTCACTGTTGGAAATGCCTACCTGCCAGAGGGGTGTAAGCAAAGTGCTGTGGCTGACTGCGTTTTCTCTTCCCGTTAATGACGTAGAAGTTCACCTTGGCAGTACGACAGATGGATGGATCTCTGTATGGAGGAACTTCAACAAACAGCATGTTCTGGAAATGGCAAATTTGTCATTGTTAAATGTACTCATGGAGATGCAGAAGTAAATGAGCAAAGGTATGAAGAAAATAAATATATTAAAAAGGGTTACAGTCTCAGATACATGTTTTTGTTACATGCTATAGCTGGTGTTATATTTTGGTATGTGTCTGCTTGCTTTAAAAAAAATTCGAACCCACAATATTTCATCATGTCATATTTCATAACATTTCATAAATCATTCAAGACTATTAGTGAAACATCAACACACTGTTTAACCTCTGTAACTCAAATGATTATTTGTTTTTGTTTGGGAATTTTGCTTTTATTTTTATTAATATCAATACCAACAGCTATGTAGAAATAAAAGTATAATCATGCATAAGTATTACCTTCATTTCAGTCCAAATTAACTAAAAGTATGACAGCCATTGCAAGAGGCAGTGTACAAAATACCTATGGTGTACAGTAACATCCAAATGTATTCCTACTCTTGGTAAACTATATTAGCTATATGTTAATTTATGAAACAATGCAAATATATACAACCCAAACATATACAGTACCAACATTTATTCAAATGTGATACAAATGTTTGAAAAGGAGCAATATATATGTAAAAATAATTACAGGTATATACTGTATATATAATTAAATATACTGTACATGTATTTCATATACTGTTATCCATACCCTATAGATGTTGAAATTGCAAGCCGTAAATTTTAACGCTGAATGTTAATCAATCATCTGGTAGTTTCACAAAGCCTCAGAAATGTTATTGAAACTTTTGGAAGTCCCCTTGAATGTTACTGGGTATTAGCGGCAATGAGAAAATTCAGAGAATTGTCTGATGACAATTCTAGTAAAAACTATAAGAAACCTATGACCCTGGTGCTCATTTTCATGAAATATTTACCCAAATATGTGAACAGAAAAGTGGTTAGGGAAGCTAACTCACAACCAAGGTCAACAATTGTGATTCTTAAAAAAATTCTGGCATGTCCCAAAGACTACCATTCGAAGTTGACCTCATGAATCTGGTGTGTGTGGCAGAGCTCCATTAGAACATAAAACCCAAAGACAAGAAGTTTCCAAACAGCAGCTAACTGACTCCTAAGTCAAATGGGACAACTAGATGTGACTGAATGAGAAACACATACTGGTGTCTCACAAGGATTATGTACCGAGGAGTGAAACACATGTTGAAAATGAATGCCACCTCTACTGTGGAGAACTGTTCTTTGCTTTAGGTTGTTTTGCAAGCTCTGGTCCTAAAACCAGAACAAAGAGTCTAACATCTACCAGAGTATTTTAGCCAAAAATGGGTACTTTCTATTGAAGCTCAAACCTGGTCACAAACAGACATTGTGTTAGGAAAACAACACAAACCTCCATAAAGTTCAATGATGAAACGATTATACTGTAAATGTATCAAGAAAGTCAAGTGTGTCTAGAAAATCATCGTTCTAGACTAGTCTCTAGTAAAAAAGCTTCAGAATGCAAACCACCAGTGCAGGCTGCAAATCCTGAAAAAGGTAGAGACATTCTGCATAAAAGAGTGGTACAGTAGAATATATAGGAGATGAGAAGGTGAAGAATGGTAGATAACTGGACACTTACAGGCTGGCTTTTATCTTTGTCAACGGTGGCTTCCACTTCCCAAATCTGCTGGCCGTCTGCAAATGCACAAACACGTAGGTAAGTCAGCTTTCAGTATAGGTTAATAATTCATCACGGCAGAGCAGTTTCTGTTCCAGCACAGATCTCATGTTTGATAGGAACAGAGTCTTCCTAATGCAGGGGCACAAAAACAAACAAGCGTGGTATTGTGATAATCACCCTAAAGTGCCTTAATGGATGCAAACAACTGACCAAACCTTTTCAGCCCAAACTGAGAGAAATAAGAGGATGCCTTTTGCATTTGTTGAAAGCTCAGAGATACTCACAGAACAAATAATATAAAGGTGTAGAGCTAGGATGAATGCATATTTCTGTGTCTGAATGAAACACCCACCAGTAGAAACAGGTTATAAAGTCCCTAATTGCAGGTATGAAAAACCATAACAATCTTAGATACTGTAGCTGTCTTTAAGATTAAACATTTCAGTCCTCAGCTCTGTAGCACCTTTAATAGACTCATGCCAATCCTGACTGAAGGATAATGCAGTTGATCGTTTCTGTAAGGTCTCATAGAATCAATCTGTGTTTTTGACTGCAGAGGTCTCAAGGCCTACTAAAATGTCTAAAAACACTACAACAAGCAAACAAAACAATGCAAAAATTTTGTATTTCTTAGCATTGATTGTTAAATAACTTAATTTAACCTTTCAGCCTTCTTATTCACAAAAAAACTTTGCATGCTGATGGAAGTGCGTGGGTGCCAACTACCTACGACAAACATGCACTTTGTTTGATATTACGTTCATCATTAAAAATACATTTGGCCCATTTTTGGTTACTGGTATTGGCAACATGCAATGGTTTCAGTTTTCAAGCTTATGAAAGTGTGTGGGAATAGATTTCCATTTTCTTCAAGTACCCCCGTGTAGGTGACTTCTTCTGAAGAGAGTCAGATCCTCACAGTTGTGAAAAATGAAAGCTTGCTATCTTGACGCTGTGAACCCTTCAGATTAACAAAAGTGACAGAGCTACAAAAAGATGCCGTTTGCTGTGTAATTTGTGTTGTGATCAGAAATTACACTTTGTCTAAAGGTTAAGTAACAGACAAAATCCATGACACAACGGGCAACAATTAAGGCTCCATAATTGTGCAAGTTTATCTCCTATTAAATTACATTAACTCAAGCCAAATTTGAAATGTTTCAAAGTATTAATTAATCAAACTGAGTTAAACTAATCCAGGCTGGACATTCTTTTGTGTTAGTAAAATAAGCTTATTACACAAAGCTATTGTTTGAAATGTTATGAAAAAGTATGATACTATTGTTCAGGTGTTTTTTTTTTCTAAATATTGCAGGGCTTATGCAAATCGTATTCAAAAGAAATATTCAAAACCTGTGCAGCTATTAACATTTATTATGATCATTCAGGGGAACTCAGTCACACGATCTTTAGAAAGTATTTACCTCCAGTGGATAAACTTTGATAACCCATGGAAAACTAGTCTCAAAGATATACTGTATGTGATCTCTGTTACTGAATATATTGAGCCAGTCTTTCAGTTTAAACATTAACAGCATCCTTGTGGAACCTTTCTCAACCATTACCGAATCCCCACACAGTTTTGACACTTCAAAGGCAGAAATGCAGGACTATAGGAAATATGACTTGACACTACTAGGCTCAATCAATTTCCTGTAATTATGTGACAAAACTCATCAGTCAAACACAATTCTCAGCTGATTGGTCGGGACTCTGCTCTATTTCCCACTGTCAATTATCCAGAACTATGCATCCCTGCATAGCACCTCAGTAGCAGACCCTCAGGACCACAATGTCATGTGAGGGCTACTAGACTCTGAATTTCTGTATTGAACTCACTATGGATTACAATATCAGCTCACACCCGGTTTGAAACTCGTCTTACTTATGGGTAAATGAACTGTACATAAGCATGTGCAGTTGAAAATGATACTGAAATGTGTACATGTGTACTGTATTTAATTTTCTAACTTTCTTATTAAAGTGCGTACAAAGGCCCATAAGTGGTGAAATAGAACCAAACTTCTATGTACTGGGAATCATAATTATGTCTCTGTATTGTGTACTTTATTTCATAATACGCTTTGCTGCCCCATTCCTGAGCAGGGAGATTGAAATCACCACCTATGATCCCATCTCACTTTTTGCTACATCCCGTTTACATATATATATCTATCTCGGTCATAGGGACCTGAATTCACAGCACACAGAGTAACCTTTAATCTCAGATTTCAAATAGAAGCTTCACTCTGTGCTAGTGGAGTTATGAGGATTATAAGCCTAACAAGCATCAGCGTTTGGGAGCATCAGGGTCAGTTTATCACTTAGCAAACATCTGCTTCCAAGACTGGCAACTTGTTAATGTTAATCTACACTGTACGCTGAGGTATTTGTTGGAGAGATAACATTCTACACCGGAGGCAACCGAGAAAAAAAAACTACCTTTATAGTCCAAGCATCCAGAAAAAAGTATAGCAAATTTCCTTATACAAGAAAACATTATCTGCTTCAGTATATGTGAAAAGGGTTTCTGGAAGAGGGATACTGTGTCAGGGTTTGGGTCAGTTCTTGCCTGATGCATAAGGCTAGGGGAGGAGGTTGCTGTGTTTGTGCCTGTTCCCTTTTGTGCTAGGTATTGTGTCACACGCCATCTTTGTATCAAAGCTGGACATTCTAATACAGTACGGCTACACATTTTCTGCTCAGTCCATGCCACTGCAATTCCAGTGTACAGAAAAGAGCCCGTCCCATGATTTATTTAAAAGCAGCCTTTGGGTCAAGGCCAGTGATAACAAGGGAAGGTGGGAGAAGCACTGAAAGCCTTGTGGAGGAATTCCCTTTTTCCATAGGCTCAAGGTGGTCAAGAGCAGCCAGTCTACAGGCCATCTCTGTTTTCTGTGTTTTAAATGGACCTCTTGTTTTCTGTGAACTCCAGAAATACAGACTGAGTCATGTCAGAAAAGCTAAATGGACTGAAAATGTGGCTATTCATTGACACTCCAAAATAATATATGTGAGTCCATGATGGATAAAGGAACATTTCACAGTAATTTGTTTATTTTTCTTTACAAGATGCTTCTATTTGGGATGATGTTTTTTATTTTTATTTCTTTGTTTTTTAACACGTCTTTTCTCCTAAACAGTCATACAACCAATCTCTTCTCTTGAGCTAGCCATACCTTGGTACTGCACCTGCACATCGTACAGAGGAGATATCCTATTATCAGTTTCTTTTAAATTCGAGCATCTGTTTTTTTATTTTAAAAATATTTTTATGTCCCATCTGAGGACAAATTACACAATAAACAGTTAGAAAATATATATATTTACTTTTTTATACATAAAAAAAATATAATTTTATCTACGAAAAATATTTTAGACATAAAACCTTCTGCAAAAACAGATAATATTGAAATACATTCATAAAATATTTTGTTTTCATGTTCCTAGGCACTCATGCTTATTGAAAGGCCAAGGACACTTTGTGAAAGCTTGCTTTTGGGAAAACAGCAGCTACAGTATTGGCTGTAACGTAATGAATAAAGAGTCAATATGTGTTTTTCACACTTTTGCACAGCATGTTAATGTGCCCCAATTAATTTGAACTGGATGATGCATGACTTTGTGTTTTTAGTGTTCGGAGTCTGAACTTTTAATTCACTTTCGAGACATCATACACATTTTAATTATTTTCTGCACTTAGCAATATTTCTCCTAAAAACTGTAATTATAACTTGTAGAACACACTTGAAGCAGTCTGCGTGGGAAGACTAGCAACACTGTAACGTCTCATGAGTAGGGTTAGAAAACTAAATATTAAAAGATGGAAATTCTACAGTTTGTCTACTTCTTCTGAACCATGAACTTTTTGTGGTTAACTTCACCACAGATGCTGGTAATGTTAGCATTTCAGCAAAAGATGTGACTAAAATTAACTTTCTTTGCCCCCATAGAGAAATATGTGCTTCAAAATACACTCTTTTTGTAAGGGTGTGGGTGTATTCAGCAAATTACACTACACTACTGCTCAAAATATTCCTCTGCAGCCTAGATGACTTATTTTAACTGGGTGGTTTGTTGCCTCTCTCTCTTTTGCAAAAATGCGTGGACCAGTTTGCTTAAAGTCAATCACAAATTGAGAGGGAGCATGTTACTTCAAAAAGAAGTAGCAAATAACATAATTCGATGTCATAAGCAGAATACAAAAATACACATGTAAAAAATGTAAAATCTACAAGCCTCAGAAAATACAGACTTCTTTCCTGTTCCTTCAAACTCGTGCGTGGTGTCAGACATAACAAAGCAAATTTAAACTAAGCCATAACTTTGCATGTATTGTATGTAGGGGGGTCCAGATATAGCCATGCTGTCTAGGTGAGAGAGGTGTAGCAGACGTTTCTGAGAGTCCTAAATGTGCGCTCTCCTTCAATGTCATGCAAGCAGCATGAAGCAGCAACTTGAAGCCATCTCCCTGAAAGTGCGCAGACAGCGATGCAATTGGTTTCCTGAGACAGGAAACGCAGTTGTCAATATTTCACAAACCTAAGCTAAGGGAGTGAACGCTGCTGTTATGGGAGGTTTCGAGGGGGGGGGGTTACACACCTCCCCCACTTTTTATTTCACTACCGTTATGATAACCACTCACACTCTGCTCAACAGCTATTTCCGTAACCGTGGCTCAGCTAGACAGCTCAGTTACACATTCCTCATTTAGGCCTTTTGCTTAAAAAGAAAAAGACCCCATTGCCTTGGTTACTGGACTGATCTAGTCTGAGAAGACTAGGTACTGGTGGACTAATAGGTGGTGCTCTGTCCTGTTTGGACCAGAATTTCCAAAACAATGACCAGGGACACTGTACTGTAGTGTGTGCGATCCTGCATCGAGATGTTAAATTGAGATCCTGAGTGTGTGGTCATTAAAAACCAGGGTGTTGACCTCAGGGTCCAAGTATGGACAGGAGCTGTAGTTAGCAGCTCACAACATCACTCAAAAATGAGATTAAAACAGCGAGTA